CAAATTAACAAAAATATCTAAATTCAGAAATTTCAAATTTCAGAAATTATCAAATTTAATAAATATTTTAATTATGCTGGTAACTGTAAAATTGCAAACAGAAAATGGAAATTAAGATGATTTTATTTGTATTTACCCATTCTGTTCATTTTTGTCTTTTTTTAATTCCCCCACCAAGCAAAGCGATAATAGGCAAGGGGCTACTGGGAATGAAAGAGAATGAAAAGAATTTCAAAGTAACTGGAGACCCAAACTTAAACAGAAAAGAAGGGATAATACTCTACTCTTGTTCAAAAGAACAGAGAGGTGTGTGAACCGGACGATAGGACGAAAAAGTGTATGTCAATGACGCCATTTGTATTTCCATTTCTTCAATGGACCGAAAATCTCCCCGGGCTTTTGTTAAACAATTTGTTTATTAAATTGTTCCCTTTTCAATGAAAACTGAATTTATTGCTTGAAAGAGCTGTATCCTCCATGCAAACTCTTCTATTATTTGATCTTTATAGGAATTTCAATGGTGCAATTTACAAGATAGCAATAAACATGAAATTGCAGCAGCCATTACGTGGAGTTCTGACGTCATTCCAAAGTGTTAACCTCTCCTCCTCCTCTCCTATATTTTTATATTCATAATCATTTGTCACATGCCAACATCTTTGAAAGTTGGAATCATTTTGTCATTTTTCATAGTTCTACTATAAAAAAATAAATAAATTGGGGACTTTTAACCCTCTCCCAAGTCGGGGAGGGTACTTTTTGCAGGTGCAGAACAATCAAATGATACTGCTCATTTTTTGCTTGAGGCATTGATTTGAAACTCAACATATCCCAGCTAACATGGAACATTCTCTGCAATGTCGCATCATGGTTAAGGGATATGTGATGTGTTACTATAACATTGTAATCAATTATTTTCCCGACCCAAAACTGACAGCTGATCCGCAATGCCGTGAAAACATTATGGGTAACAAGGCGAAGTGCTGTAGCTGAAAACATTCACACTGGTCAAGTAACATCAAAATACGTTTTCTTCACTTAAGAATATATTAGAATGGATTTTTATTCATCCAACAAATTTCTATCTCTTTAAACGTTATTAATAGTGGGTACTTGTATTTGAATAGAAACTTCGTTTACATTATTCAGACTATTTTCCTCATCTTTGTCATCATATTTATCACAACGTTTCAGCCGTTGTACCATTTTTACCAGCGCTCATATTGCAATTTTTGCTGAGACATTAGGTTTATAATACCCAGAAATTCATATACAGATGTCCTCAAGGACACATGGCACAGTGGATAAAGGCGTTGGTTAGATCCAGTGACAGGATCCAAACAGTGTGGGTTCAATACACGGTTAAGACAGTGGAGAACTTGGAGAGGGGAATTAACAGGAGATAACTGATAACTGACATCCATTAAACATGGCAAGTGGAACTAGAACAGTCTACCCCAGTGAGCGAATAAAAGGTTCTGTTCGACATTCCAACCACCTGAAAGAGCGTACAACGTTGTGATAAATATTGCGACAATAGTTCGAATAATGTAAATGATATACATAATGCCTCATTATATTAATATATATATATATTAATTTATTTTCACCTACCGACCTGACATTTTCAGAAATCTATATAATGATGCTGGTAAGTTGGTGTTGATGTATTATTTTCCCTTGTTTTTAGTTTTTATTTATTTATTTTTTACTGTAACGTGGTGGATATTAATGACAGAAATTAAAATGCATAAAACGTACAACAATAAAAACTTGAGACACGTTTTGACATAAATAACAAGAAGTTGCATTTTCTTTTTGTGATGAAAATTACAGAATATTGGTATGGTGTGTGTAAAAATTTTCTCAGTGTTTCTTTTGCTTAAAGGTGAATGCTTATTTGTCTTGGTTCCGAGAATTTCGTTTTTGAGGATGGTGTTTGAAATCTTTTGTTTTCGATCTTCACGGACAGCTGGCTAGACGTGTGTTTCTATACTGCTACTGCCACTTGTCTACTTATCTACTGACCACTATGCGGCCCACTGGTCAGAAAACTATCTATGCCTGGTTTAAATACAGTTTTAACGCTTCAAATCAAGGGTCAATCGTTATATATCCTGCTTATACTTATGGCCTTCATTTCCAAACATCAGCTCTTTTATTTCTACTGCCCTTCATTCAGCATCAGCATTTCACAGAAACCTTCTGCCCTGAGTGGCTCCCGTCCTGGGCATGACGATAAACTACATCCACGTCATGGGTAAGACGATAAACTACGTCCAACAGCAAGGCTTCTGATCAGGATATTTTGAGTAACATGGAACCACCTCTTGATTGCTGGTGTTCCCAGCCCCCCCTCCCCAGACCCGGGGTGGTAGCACCTGTTACGGTCCCAGCTATGGGCAAATACTTAACTCCCAAACTGGGGTCAAAACATTATAAATGTGTAAAAATAGGTTTTAATACCAGAAATACTTTGTTACCAGTAATAAAATTTGAAGGAAAAAATAATTACCAGCAATACGTTTTTGAAAAGAATATTGCCTGCTATACGTTTTTGAAAGAAAAAAATATTGCCAGAAATAGATTTTTGAAGAAAAAATATTACCAGAAATACATCTTTTGAAGGAAGGAATATTACCAGAAATATATTTTTGAAGGAAAACAATATTACCAGCAATACATTTTTTGAAAAAAATATTACCAGCAATACATTTTTGAAAAAAAAATATTACCAGGAATAAAAATTCTGTCGGCATTAAATAACCCATTGAGGTTGATATGCCGTAAAACAAGCCAAAACAATCTAAACCAAAGAATACATATTCTATTCATACGAATCTATCCTAAAAATGTTGTCGGCATTAAATAACCCATTGAGGTTGATATGCCGTAAAATAAAATAAACCAAACCAATCTAAACCAAAGAATATATAATCTGTTCATACGAATCTATCCTAAAAATGCTGTCGGCATTAAATAACCCATTGAGGTTAATATGCCGTAAAACAAAATAAAACAAACCAATAGATAGATAGATAGATAGATAGATAGATAGATAGATAGATAGATAGAAAATATTACCAGCAAAATTCTGTCGGCATTAAATAACCCATTGAGGTTGATATACCGTAAAACAAACCAATCCAAACCAAACCTGAGTGGCTCTCGAGCCTTTTAATGGTAGAACGTCTGTATTAAAAAAAATGCGTTCATTTCCTGGTTGAACTTGAACTATGCAGCGAACTATTTCTCTTGTTTCTGATGCGCCTGGTGTGATTACGTACTTTTTATTGGTCCGGGGCGTGAATGGCAAGTCGACAAACTGCATTTGACACGTTGTGCATCCTATACTGATACTGCTTCAGGAGACAATATGCATATCTGCATGGAAGCTAATGCCATCATGTCCCGCTTGTCGAACTTGCTTTTCGTTAGGAATGTCATTTTGAGTTGCTAAAATAGACGCCGAAGAATACATTTTACCAATATACTGAAAAATAGTAGCTGGAATAGTGGAAATTCCACGGGTGTTGACAACACAGCCAAATCGTGAATATATAGATCTGTATATATATAGACGTACAGATGTATCTGTATATAAACAAAATGAATATAAATATATTATACAGGTGATTTCTTTCTTTCTTTTAATATTATCAATACTCTGTTCGGCAGAAAGGTTGTCCCAATTTCAAAGGTTAATAAAAACAAACACATGATAATAAAATAAAACTTTGTCTTCTCTCCAGGCCATGTTGGGGTATGACCTGAAACAGAAAATAAATGGCATTTAATAGACTTCATAGAGATACGTTCATATGTTTCTTTTTTATTAATCTTTGAAATCGAGGCAATCTTTCGGTAGCTCCCAGAAGTATATCATAATAATATGACATTAACTAGATGAAAACACCATTGCCAATAATACTATACCATTACGTGGGTAGTATTTCTATGAGGTATATGTAGGAGGTATTTCTCTCGCACATTGTATACGTAATATTGCAAAGAAATAAAGAAAGAAAGAGGCGGTTTCATACCTTTCTTAAGGTCATTTGCGCGTAAGGGAATATAACGAATCCAACTGGAATTGGAACTTCGCTCTCTGATTAACAAGTCCGAGGCATTAACCATTACACCAGCCGCACACCCAAACTTACAGCACCAGGTATTCTGAAGCGGTTACTCATCGCGGTACTGACCAGACTCGAAAGAAGGAATGATAGAAAGAAAGAACGTATAAGGAAAAGAAAGAAAGACCATAAATGGAAAACGAAAAAAGAAAGAAAGAAAGAGAGAGAGAGAAGGAAATAAAATGGAAAACAAAGAAAGAAAGAAAGAAAGAAAGAAAGAAAGAAAGAAAGAAAGAAAGAAAGAAAGAAAGAAAGAAAGGGAGAGATAGAAGGAAATAAAATGGAAAACAAAAAAGAAAGTAAGAAATAAATAAAATGGAAAAAGAAAGAAAGAAAGAAAGAAAGAAAGAAAGAAAGAAAGAAAGAAAGAAAGAACGAGAGAAGTAAAGAAAAATTAAAAAGAAAAAAAAAGAAAGAAAATGGAAAACAAAGAAATAAATAAATAAAGAAAAGAAAGAAAGAAAGAAAAAAGAAAAATGGAAAAGAAAGAAAGAAAGAAAGAAAGAAAGAAAGAAAGAAAAAGAAAGAAATGAAAGAGAAAGAAAATAAATGGAAAAGAAAGAATGAAAGAAAGAACGAAGGTAGGAAAGAAAGAAAGAGAGAAGGAAAGAAAAATGGAAAAGAAAAAAGAAAGTAAGAAAGAAAGAAAATGGAAAGAAAGAAAGAAAGAAAGAAAGAAAGAAAGAAAGAAATGAAAAAGAAAGAAAATAATTGGAAAAGAAAGAATGAAGGAAGGAAGGAAGGAAGGAAGGAAGGAAGGAAGGAAGGAAGGAAAGAAAGAAAATAAATGGAAAAGAAAGAAAAAGAGAAAGGAAGAAAGGAAGAACATAAATAGAATAGAAAGAAAAAAGGAAAGAAATGCATATATGTATTATATAACTGTTTTTTTTTAGTTTATTGGAACTGTTGTTGTTGTTAAAAGGTTAATAACAACGACTATGATAATAAATTAGATAAAACAGACAAATAGTATTCCATACTAATTCCTTAACATCTACTATCCCAAAAAAAAAAAAAAAAAAAATCAGTTACCTAACCTTAACAATATCAAAATCATTACAACCACACCCAAAACTATTCGGGATAGAATCAGAACGAAAAATATCAATATCAATAATATTTTTTCTGTCATAGCTTTTCCTTAAAATATATCGGTGAAGCCTAAAAGGATTTAAAATAAAAAAACATATCGATTAACACAAAAATCTTATACACAACAGTCTATCAAATGCATTAGTCAAACATAGAAAGAACTACAACTTCGATCTAAAGAATGCCACACTTATTAAAAGAGAAAGTAACTTAGATGAATTAGAATTCTTCAGAGTGCCGTTGTCGAATCTTATCAAAGCATAAATCTACGCCTGGATTTTTTTTCAAATATCTACTTTCCTAAAAGATATGCTCTTTTCACAAATCAACGAACATGACTATAAAAACAAAAAATAAACAAATGAAAACGGTTAAATTCAAAACTTTCTTTTATTTAAAATACATAAAATAATTTCTGAGATTAAATAATATAAATAATAATTACATTATAAATAATTCAACAACAACTCTTACTTTCCTGTATAAGACATTAGATTATATCACTTAACATCTTTCATAATTGACATTGATTTTCAGTTAACATGAGCGTTCTCGAATTTTAAAATCCTGAAAAACTAACGATATATAGGTTTTATATATTTCTGTTTATAAACACTTACTGCAAAATAAAATCCTTACATTTGTCTTGATAAAATTCATGAGAGGACAAAACGCGTCAATAAGAAAAAAAAAAAATATATATATATATTTATATATATATTTATATATATATATATATATATATATATATATTTTAAAAGAAAAACAGACCACTTTAAGGTACCTTTTAAAGTGGTCTGTTTTTTCTTTTAAATATTAGCTCTGGATTTACTTGAGCTCTGGATTTCATCCTCCTTGGGATTGCCCATACGGATTACCAAGTTGTTCATAACTTATATATATATATATATATATATATATATATATATATATATATATATATCGACTCTCCCGTCGAATTCGACGTATGAGGGTCAAGCAGATCTGTTTCCAGGAAACCGACAGCCCGACACCAGCACATGAGATTTGATTATAGTGGCGAAGGTTCGTGCAGGACCAACCACACTTTTTTGAAGGGCCGAATACAGAGACCTGGTGCACTAAGCCTCAAAGGTCCCCAAACGACCCTCCGCAGGTTTGAATTCAGAGTTGTCCTTTCCTAGACCAGTTGCCATCCAAGGCTATAGAACCAGTCTGTCCTGCTATTTACCCATAGCTGATTATATATGTTGCGTATTGAGGCAGCAATCCTTCACTTATAGATGTTTTATTACAGACGACAAACAAGGTACTCCGATTAAGCTTTTTATTTAATTTTTTCTTGTGTTGAACAAGTGTTTTTTTTTGGGGGGGGGGGCACAAAGAGTGTAGAAACTGTCCAAATTTTCTATAATTTCTAGCGCTTTCTGTTATACTTTTAACCATTATCAAGGATGATTTTATTTTTGCTTTTTAATTGGTCGTGTGGGTTGTTTGTATGTTTCTACAATGTTATGTGGATGTTTTAGTTCCCGAACTCATCATATTGTGGCCGTGGTTAATATTAAGTGTTGGCTTTTTTTCTTTTTTATTATTAAAGCTTCCATTAATTTTAATCTTTTTTTAAATGTGGAAAGTTATTATATTTGTATTTTCTCCAAATATGTTTCTGGGGGAGTCTGGTAAGTTTGTGTAATTATTTATGAAAAATTAAATAAAAAGCTTAATCGTAGTATCATGTCTGTCGTCTTTAACGAAATCTCTCTTTCTCTATATATATATAATTAATTAATAGAAACCTCAACAGAATGCAGAAAGCACTGGACGGCCGTTTCGTCCTATATTTGGGACTCATCAGCAGGGCGCATCCACTACCAAGAATTGAAACCCTGACAGTTAGGTTGTCAAGCAAACATCATACCAACTGTTCTAATGTGCCGCGGTGACGAAGAGGTTGCAAATCAGACTCAATATAGCGCCGCTCCCTCACATATTCCGTGGTGGAACTCTACTGAGGACTGTGCCCCCTGGAGCCACGCCTACTCTCACCAAGCCGCTCACTCTAGAGTATTAGAAGCCGGTTCAAGCAATGATATGCAATTAGATAGAGAAATTATTAAATTAATTCATCGAGTCTGATAGAAACCTCAACAGAATGCAGAATATTGAGGTTTCTATCAGACTCGATGAATTAATTAAATATAATTATGAAATCCTCCTAATAATTTCTATCTGTATATATATATATACATATATATATATATATATATATATATATATATATAAATATTAAAATTTTATTTGGTACAAATACAAACAGTTTCTGATGAAAAATTGAGGACAATTTGAAATATCAAATATATATATAAATAAATAAATACTTTCATAAAATAAAACATTATAATTTTCAATTTGTAACTTTTCTATATATAAATATTAAGAAAGTATACGTGGCTTCTCATTATATGCTATATATATATATATATATATATATATATATATATATATATATATATATATAGTGAATTTGGCATGGGTTTTGAGATCGTGTTTTTCTGGGCGGAAGTGTTGTTCTACAGGTTGTGGTTTTTCATGGGGAGTCGACTTAATTCGATTGCGATAATTATTAATTCTGTAGTGAAAGGGCCATTCAGATTTTCCTACATATTGTTTCTGGCATGGTGTGCGTTCTGGGAGGTAAATTATGTTATGACTTCTACAGTTGGAATCGTGGTGGATTTTGGGGGTGGATTTGGTGACTGAGCTGGTGAATGAATTCGTGTTTTTAATATGGTTGCAACATAAACTTCTTGTTGTTGTATGGTTGCGGGGTCCTGTTGTTTTTGTTGTTGGTTTGTTACAGATTACCTTGCAGCATGCATCCATCCAGCTCTTATCTCAAATAACAACTTAAAAGAGACTGTTTGACAAACACAAGGAATGTTTAAAGATTCATGTTAAAAAGATAAAAAAAAAAAAAAAAATGAAATGAAAACTACAGACAAAAAGTTCATTTCTCCATCAAGACATCCATTTCTGTAGTCCATTGCTACCAGCAAGAAGAAAATTATTTCTCTCCTGATGATGGCCATGTTACGAAACTAGTAGAGGAATCTTAAATGAAATAATAATTTAAAAAAAAAAGAATATTAATTTACAACCCACTGTGTCTGAAGATTTTAATTTTTTTTTAATTTTTTATGTTCGATATATATATATATATATATATATATATATATATATATATATATATATATATATATATATATATATATATATATATCTGTCGAGAAATAATTTTCTTTAGTAAAACTTCTCAATTTCGCGTATTAATTTCATTGTTTAATAAAAAAAAAGCAGTGATAGCAACTGAAATACGTGTTTGTCTACTAAAAAACGTTTATATAGTAATAACAAATGAGTATATATATATATATATATATATATATATATATATATATATATCTACGCCTCAAAATTTCAGTAAGTGTAGTTTATTTGCTTTAATTTTGAAATAAGCACTTACCTATAGAAAAAAATTATCATACAACAGCACCATATTTTGCTTTCATCAATAAAACCACCACCTGCATTAATTACTGCTTTAAAAATTCTTGGCATTCTTCCCAGCAGTTTTTGAAAAAAATAGATAGCAGACGTTCCCAAGTATTCTTCAGGCATTGAAAAGGCTCACTCTCACTGTTTGGGCATTCTCTTCGAAGTCTCCTATCTAAATCATCACATACTAATTCATTCCAATAATAATAATAATAATAAATGTCCTGATGCTACACTAGAGCACGGCTTTCATAGCATTCGACTTTAATTGACTGGAGATGGAAGATATACACTACAGGCAAAAGTTTTTGGGACACCTTGCATTTCTTTAAAAAAAAAAAAATAAAATGAGATATTTTTTAAGTAAAAGATACAATATCAGTAGTTACAGTGTATTTTAACAAAAAATAAGCACTTAACTGTAAAAGAAATTATCATACAACAGCACCATATTTTGTTTTTATCAATAAAACCACCACCTGCTTTCATTACTGCTTTACAACTTTTTATCATTCTTTCCAACAGTTTTTTAAAAAAATAAATGGCAGTCATTCCCAAGCATTATGAAAGCACTAAAAAGCTCACTTTCCACTATTCTTTCAAATTTCCTATTAATTTATCTCATTCTAAATTTTTAATGATTCTTAAAATCAGAGATTGAGGCGGCATGGATAAAGTTTCCCAAATTGTGTTCCTTTTTTTGGTTCAAATAATTTTGATATAATTTAGAAGAGTGTTTTAGATCGCTGTCTTGATGAAAGGTTATATTTTCTTTTCAATTATGCGTATACCAGGTAGAGCATGTCCTTGTAAAATCGAATGATATTGTTTTTTTTTCAGGATTCCCTTGGCCTGAATCAAATCTCCAGGCCTTTTGGTAATCTCAAAAAGTCTATTGAATGATTAATGGGGAAAAGAAAAGGCAACATTTCTCATAGAAGATATTCATAATATAGCATTTGTATTGTGAACAGAGGAATTCAAATTGAATTTTTTAAGGGTAAGAAAAGCCTGGGGAAGGACTGAAAAATAAAGACAAAATACACTGGAGCTAGTGAAATGTTTTACTTTTAAAAAATGCAAAAATTCTTTCAATTTCCTTATGTTTTTTGTTCGAAATGTAGGAAGCCCCAAACTTTTTTTTATATATATATATATATATATATATATATATATATATATAATAGCTATATATATATGGTTTATTCAAAAATTTTTTGGGGGCCTTTCTTCAC